TCGTCTCTCTCTCTCTCTCTCTCTCTCTCTCTCTCTCTCTCTCTCTCTCTCTCTCTCTCTGAATCTCTCTAATTCGATCACGTCGAGTGTTAGCTGGTCTTCTGATCTGTCGCACATTGGGAAACATCGTGAGGTCAGAGGGTAACCGGTGCAACTCTTGCACACCTCTGCCAGAGATCGTGTGTATACGTACCCGTGTGTGGAGAAGAAGGGACACGTTTGGGTGGGCATCGATGGAGCAGAGCGGCTTTGACCCGCCAATTCAGCATCACCCATACGGGTACTCGACCGCAAATCGAGTTCCGGCCGTAGGGCGGAATAAAATCGACCCTTCGACCAACCCTTCCTCCTCCACCTTTCCTCCTGCAAGGGGCTTCGGCTCGATTCGCATGTAGGCGAATCCGGTAAGACATTACTCGCGAGGGACGCGTTTATTCGACGCTCGGGGTGGGAAAGGAAGGAAGGAAGGAAGGAAGGAGGAGGGGAAGAGGGGAGGGGAGGGGGGGGGAGGAGAGAAAGAACGGTGGAGAAAGTCAGGTTGGCTTTAATGGGCATGCCGTGGAATGGAAAGGTCTGCGCTTTCCTTTCGGTGTACGTGTGTTTGTGCACGTGCATCGAGGTGTGCTTTCACTTTGGATGAGCTTCCAAGGAGATTGCTCCTTCTAGGAGGATTAATATTATTTGTACGAGTCACGGATTAAAAATTATCGAGAAGGGATTCCATCGATTAGCGTAAAATGTAATGGAAGATCGTTTTTTTTTTTTTTTCTTTCAGAAATGTAGAAAAAAAATTCTTTTGAAGAAAAATCTGCTTCTCGCATCGTTTACCCTGAAATGTATAATAGGGAGAGATTACGGAATCTTTTCACCGAGCTGAGAATTTAAATCGTGCATCCGCTTGATTTAATCGCGGCTATCGATTGAAAAAAGAATTAAAAAAAAAAAAAGGAAGAAAGAAAAGGAAGAAACCCAAACCAACGAATTTCTCGACTCTTGTACGAAATCTAAAAAAAAGAAAAAAAATTTCTGTGAACAAGGTTCTCCAGTACATGGAAACGAAGTCAGTCGTCGAGCGCATCATGGACCACCGCAAACGGCAACATAAATGCAATCCCTGTTCCTGTTGTCAACGAAAGTGAACCGCGAGTGCGTTTGCGGTCTGAAGAGTAGAGTCCCCTCGGATGGGGAACAGGCACGGATCCCGGAGTTGAAACAGCTGGTTTTTAACTGTTCCAACTAGAAGTTAAATGTATGGACTAGGATACAATCAGTTGGGAACACTGTGTCGTCGAGCTGCATCTTAATAAGAACGATGAATGCACCACGCAATTTCTCTCCCAATTCTTTTTATAACAATCGAAAAAACGATGCTCGATGTAACTAGCACGAACAACTTCAAATCCAGTCTATAATTGTTGCATAATTATTTTTTAGAAGAGAAGAATTAATTTATTTTGTTTTTCAGGTTTTCGTGTTAAATTAGAATTATTTTGCACGATAGCCAAATTTATCCGTTCCAAATGCACTTGCCTTCCCGGATAATCCAACGAAGTAATTATTTTAATTAATCCAAATCTCTAAAAATTGAACGATATCGAAAAATCCACCCGAATCCATAACATCTCTTTCTATTCCATTTCCTCCTCCACGTTGTCCGTCCCCCACTTTATTACGCGTATCGCGAAGGCCCGTTCGCGCACGCAAATGGACACCGTCCTTCGCCATGCATCTCACCCCTCCCCCCACCGTATGAACGAATGCGCATACGATATAGCAGAATTTATGGTGGAACAGATATACTTAGCCGTGTCGAGGGTGTAACTTGGGTTGGGGTGAAGGGGGAGAGGGGGACACGTTATTGTTGCGTTAAGTGTTACGACAACCGGTGAAACTCGCCCCGTAAGCGGAATGGGAATGGGAGAGGGATGGATTTATCGCCTCGAAAATACGGGGACGTACACGCGAACGCGAATTCCGGCCACCGAATGGAGCACCGATTGATTTCACCGTTCGTCATTTTACGGATTCTCTCGTCCACTCTCGCTTTTTCGAAGCTCGTGCTTATGATTATATGCGATATTAGACGCATGTGATAACGAAGAGCAGATATATCTGATCTATGAACGATCGAGGAGGATTTACGTAAACGAGACGGAAATGCCAAGATTTTGAGAGAGAATATCTTTTAGAGAGAAGTGAGTTTTCAATTATTGAAATACACTTCTACAATAAAATTTTCTATCAGATAAATGATTGGGGAGGATTTTTATCGAATCTTCGAGCGAAGAAGCAATATTTAGATAGAAGTAAAGTTAGCTTATTATGGAGGATGATGGAGGAATCAAGTTGGATGTTCAAAATTCAGGAAGAATGTTGCTTCACTATTGTGTCTAGTTTTTCTCTAAGAAGACATTTAGAGAATCGACTACTTTTCAACCGTTAAACTACACTTCTACAATAAAGTTTTTTAGTAGAAAACAAATACCGAGTAACAAATGATCTTTATCGAATCTTCGAATGGAGATGCAATATTTTTTAGATAGAAGCAAAGTTAACTTATTATGGAGGATGATAAATGAGGTTGGATGTTCAAAGTTCACAAAGAATGTTGGACACAAAGAATTGTTGCTTCGTGTATTATGTCTACTCTTCCTCTATAAAGATTATTTAGAGATTAAAATGCACTTCTAAAATCGAAGAATACCAAGAACAGCCAGAGGTTAATTTTTCCTTCTAAAACTCCCTCCTACGACAAAGTATCTTACGAGAAACTAACCCTTTAATGCACGAGAAATATACACTCTCGAGATGAAATTTCTAATTTGAATTTTGCTAAAAATATATAGATGCGCGATATACAAATTTCGTAAACTTCCCTGAATTCTCTCGTAACGTCATAATCTATCCGGCTCGTGCCTCGACACGATCGCCTCCCTTCCCCGTCGTCATCAACGTCGAATAAATCTCCGCTCGTGTTTCGATCGGGCAGATTACGAAGTTAAAAGGCGTTGCAATTTTACCATCGTCGAAAGAAAGCGTATCCCCGTATATTAATTAATAATTCTCCCTAGGTTCAAAACGCAAACACGCGTGGTCACGCGAGAAACAAGAGGCGCTCCTTGCATGACCCACGTCGGATGGCACAGTGGTGAACTAATTCACCGATAAACTCTGAGAACTTCATTTTTCTCGCTGGCCAGATACGTAAAATTTCGAAACGAAATCGAATAAACTTTCCTCCAAACGCGAATTCAATTAACAATGATATTTACATCATCGTGTCGAAACGTTTTGAAAATACATTCTCTCGTGTATCTCGTTAAATTCACTAGATATTAAACGATGCAGTATAGCGTAGAATAATAATTATTATTATTTTTCTCAGCCTGCATGCACGATCAAACGGTATTATCGCGATTATTTATCAGATATCGACGATATCATCGATCGTTGGCGGGCCCCTTTTTGCCGTTAATGGGATAATGTTAAACGCGCCAGCAACAATACACCGGCCAATATCGCGCAACAAATCACGTAGCCACGGATGTTTATGATCCGCCGTAACAGATCATCCCTACAGATAAATCTGAATTTATGCTTCGTAAACTGAAAACAGGTTGCAATTTTATTTCCACAAAACACCTCGTTGCTGACCTCGTTGCAGAGAAGGAGAGAGAGAGAGAGAGAGATGATAGAAACGTACAATACGGGAACGATATCAAACGTGAAACGCAATGTCTCGGCCCAAGCAAAGATGGGAAGGCGTGTAACACGAATCGGGTTAGAATTATTACGGTATAAAATGATTTACGAGTAATTGAAATTAAGGGGGCTAAATTATCGTTAACGAGACAAAAGGGGGAGAGGGGGATCCTCCCTGTTTTTCCTATGTCTCAGACATAATTTTTAAAAGGATATGTCGGTTTGAATGGGCGCGAATATTCAAAAGGAGCCTCTTCTGTGTTTATTCTTTGACCGAAATCCCGATCTTCTTTGTTTGCGGAGTATCAAAGGGAACGACGATTTCCACTGGTTCCTCTGAACACCGAGATATATCCGTAGGGATGATTTTAATCAGCTCGGTTTTTCTCTCGTTCTCGGTTTAATTATTTTCGGATACCGCTTGAATTGAAAATCGAGAAATGAGATGAAGAAGGCGATCTTAGGTAGGTTAAGGTTTAATTCGACCGATCCAACTATGAATATAATCGTTTTCTCCGATGTTGTTGCACAGTTCCGCCTAATATTCTGGACTACCCGACCAGCACAGACATGGTGGTGCCGGAAAACAGTAAAGTGACTTTACACTGCGAAGCGACAGGATCACCGGGGCCGAACATCACCTGGCGACGCGAGGACGGCAAGTCGATACTCCTGGGAAACGGGACGAATGGTCAGTTTCAATCCTCATCCAAGTTTATACCACTTTTCATTTTTCTATCCTCCCTCGTAGTAATCCCGACTAGTTAAAAAGTTCGAATCGAATCCCAACGAATCTCTTTTTATTTTCTTCTTATTATTTTTTTTTTTTTTAATTCGATACGACACGATTTTTCAAACCTCTCTCAAACGTCTCGGATGCACGTTTTACAAAACGTAAACTGAGTGTTTGGTTTTAATTTTTATATATATATATATATTTTCCGCTTTTATTGGAATACTTGGAAAAAAAAAGAAAAAGAAAAATTCCAGACAACACGTCACGTTACGTAGAAAATGTAAAACTTGGATGTAATGTTACGTGATGCTCGTGTAAAAACTTACAATCCTCATCATATATATATATATATATACACTCGATATAAAAGTTCACAATCCAATTAAACTTTTTTAATCGACGCGATATCCGCTTCTCAAATTCTTCGAAACATGGAAAGAGACGCGACACAGGTGCGTCGTCTCGATCGTTTCAACAATCTCGAACGAGCGAATTTAAGATTTTCAAGCGCGGGCGTTAAATCGTGGAAGCATATTGGCCAGATTTGCGGATGGTGTAACCGAGTCTTGTAGTCTCGAGGGAGCGCAAACACACCGTGTTCGAGCAAGGCCAATAGGTTAGAGGTGGGTGATACGTTTGCACAGGTAGGGAAGATCTGCTATATTTGCATTGAAATTGGCAAACACTGTGCGTACCGAATTCAGCACGGTTGCAGAAGGGCGCTGCGTTCGACTAAAACGAAACGAATTACGACTGCTGTTTAGTTAAAACGCGCGATTTATGCGATTTCACTTTTTTTTTTTTTGCGGGTCGTTTTCGGGTTATCGATCGAGGCATCGAGCTTTTCTTTCACAGCGAATCTCGAGTGATTTCGAAGTTTCGAAAATAAGGTGAATACATCGTTATCTCTGTGAATCTGTCGACAATTAATTTTCTATGAGTTTTAAAAATAAGATAAATAACACGTGGAATCGTTGTTCGAACGAATGTTAGTTGCTACACTATCATTTAGTTTAAAACTGGAATAGAGAAAACTGGGTCGAAACACGACGAGACAAACTGAAATGTTATTTTATAGGAGTGATAGACGCGTCACAAAAGGAAGCCATTATTATTTGTGAAACTATTGCTCGAAGCCTTTGCGATATATTTGTTTAAAAAAATCTCAAAACTTTGCGCGAAACTTTTATCATTGAAATCGAGTTTATATATTATTCGCGTTATACGTGGAAATGTATTAAATTAGTGTTGTTACGTTCAAAGTCGTTTCGATTTACGAACTCGAGCGATTTCGTTTCATTCGCCGTTTGTCTCTCGCACGGGCAAAGTCGAAAGCGGAAGACTGAAATTTTAATACAAAATTTAATCGAAATCGATATAAATTAATTCGATTTCTTTCTCACGGTTTCGTTCAATTTTCACGACATCGTTTCCTTTCCCTCATATTTCACGCATGTTTTAATCTCTTTTCAATTTTATCTGAAATTAAAATTTTCCTTTTTTAAATCCTTTTCAAAGAAGTCGTAACACCCTTTTTACGAACTTTTCCATTCAACGTGGAAAATAATTTTAATTCTCCCTTATTTACTTTGTAACTTTCACTTCACTTTTACTACACCGTCCGGGAGGGGGATGAAAAACTTGTAAAAGATTTTTCGAACAAATATTTTTACCGATCCCACGGCGACAATGTCTTTCTCCCTTTATCGACGCGCACATTTTTGGAATTAAAAAAAAGAAAAAAAGAAAAAAATAAACAAACAAAAATCCGCTCTGGGGTGAAAATAAAAATAAAAAAAAATAAACAAGAATATTTCGTAATTTTTGTTAATCGAATCTCATCTGCTCGAGATTCTTCCCCGTTATCCCGGTTATTGCCGGATATTCAAAAATTTCAAAAGAAACACGCCGCGCATTCAACGCGCCGCGAAACTATTTGAAAACCGCGTGAACCGCGTGGCTCGTTAATTGCGTTTTGTTCCGTAAGAAAAGTAATGAAGGGGGTGGCAAGCGGTTACTCGTTAGGTTTCGCTCGGTTTTCGTTCTTTCGTATTTGACATCGTTCAGTTTGTTAACAGGGCGCAAATATTCCAACCGGATTTAATTGTGGTTAACGGACGGTCGTAGACTGCCTCGACTTCCGGATAAGTAAACTAAATTTGCCATCCTGCAGGGATAGAGAAGACAACATCAAAACTGTGTTACTCGGTTTGTCTCCGTTCCCCGTAAATTTCCGTCCACCTCTCTTTGACCGAAAAATTTTATTTTCCGTCTACAACAGCTGTTCGAAACTAACTTTTCGACATTTTTGCCCCCGCGATTGTTATTATATATCGCCGCGATACATAATAAGAAAATTTTTATCCGCGGTTTTTTGATACGTGGGATTTATTATTTTGTAATAAAGGAAGCGGAGAGGGGAGAATAACAATTTTTTTTTTTTTCAATTGCCATCTCAACAATATTGAAATAATGAAATATGCGAGTTTGTTTTCGAAACAATTTCCAAAAAAAAAAAAAAAAAAATTCGGCGCTCGGTTTATATTTTTATATAGATTTGGATAGAACACGCAAATTGAAATAGAAAATTGTTATGCGTGTAAAATCATTTCGTAGCGTTTTCGGGATACAATTTAATGCACTCCGAAGAATGAATAAAAATTGCGAATTTTAAAAATTACATAGAGAGAGAGAGAGAGAGAGAGAGAGAGAGAGAGAGAGAGAGAGAGAGAGAGAGTAGAGAAGTAAGTA